CCTCCATGGAGGGCAGGCTCACACCAGTGACCTTTTCTGCAGTCCTCACTGTCCGCTGAAGTCTGTACTTGTCCTGTTTGGTTGCTGAGCCAAACCAGACAATGATGGAAGTACAGAGAACAGACTCAGTGATTCCTCTATAGAATTGTATCAGCAGCTCCTGGGGCAGGTCAAACTTCCTGAGCTGGCTTAAATTTTTGTGTTTCATCTTTCCTTTTTCAGGGGGACTCTGGTGGACCTTTGCAATGCAAACAAGGCTCAGTGTGGATCCAGGCTGGCATCACCAGCTATGGAGTACCTTGTGCCACAGCTGGATTTCCTGAAGTTTATACCCGAGTGTCTCAGTTCCACGCTTGTATCAAAGATCAAGTGGCTGTAGCAAATGGCATCTTCGTCACATTCACCTCTAATGGCACTGATCCAGACAGCAGCTTTATGTGTCGCAGTACTGCAACCACAGCTGCTCTGACAGCTACTGCAACTGAGCTGGCATTCATTTCCATCTTAGTGCCAGTGTTTTTGCAGCACGTTTTAGCTCTGTAGCTCAATTTTACACTAACAACTTTTCAACATTTAAATCATTTCACAAAGTTTCAAATTCTTCTTACTGTATGTATAACATGTCAGTTATGGTTGGGTTGGTTTCCACACTGTGTCTTTGGAGCAGGATCCATGATGAAACTATGTTTATGCATTGCACTTAATTCCTTCTTCTTGGCCTTTTTTAATGTGACATAAACTTCATTTAACCCAAACTGTGTCTATTCCCTAATGGTACAAAGTCATTTATGTTGTCAGTTAAGGTAAGAAAATATAGTTATGTTGGAGAACCTTTCCCCAGGGCCAGATAGGGTCCATCCCTCATCCACACTCTTCCCTATCTGTTGTCAATAATCATCCAAAGTCTGTGCAGTCTGTTTGCAAAGTAAATAATTTTCTGGAAAGATCAAAACAGCCTGACAAATTTTGTTTATCATCCATGGAGCAGAACGACTACAGAGTTAGAAACAGGCTTGATCTGTAAACGATCACTTACAATAACATGTATTCTAAATTCGACTTACTGGTGTAAAGTACCCAGAGGTTAGTCTTGGGAAGACTTAACTAAAAGGGTACAAGTATAATGAGATCAGTGAGAATCCAGAGTTTGCCACAGGCATCCTGCAGGTCTATTTCTAGGAAGTTAAATAATGTCAACTAAACACTATGCAATAAAATCACAGTCATACTTTGCCAATGTCACAGATTCTACGGGTTATTTCAGACCCAACTTAACACTTCCTCAAAGAACCAAAGTATATTGGCTTCTAAAACTTTCTCAGTAGAGTAACATCTGAAGGTACAGTATAAGGAGGTAGCTGCCTATAGCTACAGATTGTGATTGTTTGGGTGGATTTGGGGTCTTGTCCTGAATTAATAACATCTAAGAGGGAGGACTGCAGGGAACTCTGTTCGCAAGTTCATGGTAGTCAATTAATGTGTGAATATCTCCACCTGAAAAACTGCAAGCAGTGTTCGAAGTTTTAATAGTTTCAAATATGCCATGCGGTTAAGCTATGTTCCTATGTCCAGGAGTTAGCAGATTGTGGCCTTCAAACAGCTTTATAAATAAACTTGCCTTATGTAAAGAGCATTTTAATAGCAGCACATTATTTATGAAAAACATTAAACTACTGCTACCAATAAGTCAGAGTGGAATACACTTTAAATGTTGAAGTGTGTCCATATGGACACACAGGTCAGTCAGGTACGCCACATGCTACGTGCTCGCTCTCATGCATTCAGATCAGGCGATGAGATGGAGTACAAAGCTGCAAAATACAGACTGAGGAAAGCCATCACAGCGGCCAAGAGGCAGTACAGAGAGAAGCTGAATGGCTTCTACTCTACTGCTGACTCCGGACGGATGTGGCAAGGCCTGCAGCACATCACAGACTACAGGACCACCACCAGCATCATCAGCTCCACAGACAGCCTGCTGGATGACCTAAACACCCTCTACACCCACTTTGAGACCTCCAGCTACAGCACAGAGAGGAGGCACACACACACCGAGACCAGCCAACCCCCCACCTCCCCTCCACTAACTGTTTCACCAGGCCAGGTACGCACAGTCCTGAGGAAGATCAACCCCCGCAAAGCGGCAGGACCGGACAACATCCCTGGGAGGGCTCTCAGGGCATGTACCAGCAAGCTTGTTGATGTTCTCACCACCATCTTCAACCTCTCCCTCAGCCAGAGCATCGCTCCCACCTGCTTTAAGACCACAACCATCATCCCCCTTCCCAAGAAGAGCCCGGTCACCTGCCTGAATGACTACAGGCCAGTGGCACTCACCCCAGTCATTGTGAAGTGTTTTGAGAGAGTGGTGCTGGCCCGCATTCAGAGCAGTATACTGGACACCCTGGACCCCCTGCAGTATGCCTACTGGCCTGATCATGCTTCATTTGATTATTTTAATGTTCAATTGATGTCACTTCTATAATAGGATACTCTTCATTGACTACAGCTCCGCCTTCAACACAGTAGTCCCCCACAAACTCACCCACAAACTGTCCGCACTAGGCCTGCACCCCACCCTCTGTGACTGTCTCCTGGACTTTCTGACTGGCAGGCCCCAGACTGTCAGGATTGGCAATAGAACTTCAGCCAGCATTGTTACAAACATTGGCACCTCACAGGGATGTGTGTCCTCAGTCCCATCCTCTACACCCTGTTCACCCACGACTGTGTCGCCTCCCACAAAGACAACATCATCCTAAAGTTCGCAGACGACACCACAGTGATAGGTCGCATCACTGGTGGGGACGAAGCAGCCTACAGGAGGGAGGTGGCCAGTCTGGTGTCATGTGGCAAGAACAATAATCTCAGCCTCAACACGGACAAGACGAAGGAGATGATGTGGACATGAGGAAGGAGAGGAGAATTTATTGGCCACTGTTCATCCGGGGGCTCGAAGTGGAGAGGGTGAGCAGTTTCAAATACCTGGGTGTCCACATCAGGGAGGACCTCGCAGTGAGGACTGGCAATAGGACCTCAGCCAGCATTGTCACAAACATCGGCACCCCACAGTAATGTGTTCTCAGTCCCATCCTCTACACGACTGCTGACTGCTGCACATGCTGCTCCCATGCAGCATACAATTCTTTAATTATATTCTTATATAAGAAGGCACAGCAGAGAATGGACTTCCTGCGCCAGCTCAGGAAGTTCAACCTGCCCCAGGAGCTGCTGATACAGTTCTACACAGGAATCATTGAGTCTGTTGTCTGTAACTCCATCACTGTCTGGTTTGGCTCAGCAACCAAACAGGACAAGTACAGACTTCAGCGGACAGTGAGGACTGCAGAAAAGATCATTGTTGTGAGCCTGCCCTCCATGGAGGACCTGTACACCACACAGGTCAA